AGACAGGGTCTCCCTATGCAGTTCAGGCTGGCCTTGAGCTCACTTTGTAGCCCAGGCTGGCCTTGAATTCGGGGCAATCCTCCCACCTCAGCCTCTGATCCTCCTGTCTCAGCTCCTGAGTGCTCAGATTACAGGTGTGCGCCACCACGCCCAGCTCCATTCTCTTTCTTCTATCTCTCCATTCTTATCTTTTTCTCCTATTGTCCTTTTTATGAATGCACACTTCTGAGATGCCACTTAGATTCGAAGGCCAAGAATCCACTATATCTTTGTGGTGATGGTGGTAGTTGGGTCTTTCCAGGGCCAAGGTGAACTCATGATGGTCAAGTGTCTTTTCATTGCTTCTCCCAAGCCCCTAAATGTGTTTTTGTTCCCGGGAGACATGGAATCTGCATCTCTTTCAGTTCACATCCCTGTGGCCCTCTCTCTGAATTAGTTATTTCTCATATTCTCGCCCAGAAGTGTAAGCAAACACATAGTTGTATTGGTGTTGCAGCAGGTGGGAAAGGGACAGGTGTTTCAGGAAAGAGGACACACACAGCATAGTGGAAGCTCTAGGAAGAGAAGCCTTGGATGTTCCGTAGTAATTTACATTCTTTTTTTTTTTAAACACTGGACTGAAACTCAGGACCTTGTGGTTGCCAGGCAGGTGCTTTTACCGCTAAGCTATATCCCTGGCCAATAATTTACATTCATTCCATTGCTTATTCTCTGTGGGGAATTGACTAAAACAGACCAATGCCTAACTCCTGATCACAGGTCCCCATCCCAAATTGAAGATGGTTTTCCCAGCTGGTACTTTCCCCAAGCAAGAAAGACCTCTGCCAAGCTACCTCTTTCTATTTTAACCTGTATTCAGAGAATTTAAACAAAGATACATGGGCATACGTACATATGCCATTTTAGGCTATTTCATTATGCCAAAATCTAATAAGATTAGGGATGAGACTGCATTTTATCACAGTACTTTGTGTGCAGGCCCTGACTAGGCACTGAGGAAAGATAAAAGGAAAAAAATCAGTCTCTGTACTCAGGGAAATCCCCACCTGAGTGGGGAGATAGGTACTCCCACATGAAACACCCAGCAAACCTTTACAGAACACAGTGTTACTCTGCAAAGTGGTGCAGCAGTTATCCTAAAGTGGCATAGCTAGGTAGGAGTGTATGTTTGTGGGAGATAGTATAAAAGTAACCTGAAGGAGGTGAATATTGGATCATCTTGAACAAAGCAAGAGACAATGTAGAATAAAAGAAACACATGGGAGTAATTTAACAATTCTTTTCAAAGAGGATGTGGGAAACTGTTGAGCCAAGATTGCAGGATAGGCTTTATTAAAATACATCATTAGATGAGAGATTTTGTAGGGTAGGCAATAGGGAACCACCCATGGTTCTCAAGCAAGAAAATGTTGGAACCTTGGGTTTTGGGGGAGGTGAGTGTAAAAAATAGACCTTCTTGTAAGAGGAACTGTGCTTTTAAGGGACACGGGCTGCAGGGCAGATTGGATCCAGTCTTGGCTTTGTCCCTAACCAGCTGTGGAACCTTGGACATTACTGTTGTCTTTCTCATATGAAGCGAGTGGTCTACCTTGGTTGCCAGACTTTCCTGCAGCTGACATTCTGTGTTCCCTGAATACCACTGGGCCTTACCAGTGGCCCCTACTGTCAAAAGGGTGTTGTTTGTTTTTGTAGCACCTACAGGGCCCTTAGAGTTTTCAGTTTAGTGGGGGCTACAGATACTATATTAATTCGAAGATTCATTTTAACAATCCTGAGTCAGGATACATCTTAAAATCAGTGGGTTATTATAATGGGGAGCATTTGTTTTTTATTAGTGCCACATAAGATACTAGTACAATTAGACTTGCACACATAACTAAAATTCCAGTGGATAATTGCTGAAGAGAAGGTATAGGTGTTGCATAAACATGTAAAGGAGGGTCTGACCCATACAGTGAGATGGGAAAGACTTTCCAGGGCAGGGCCTTGGTGGATGTGAAGTGTGTGTAGGCCACATGGCAAGGTTGTCCTAGCACAGGTGGATGCCTGAGGTGGAAGAGCTGAGATATGTATGGCTGGAGCACAGACTGGGAGCTGGGCATGGGTGAGGCTGGCAGGGTGGTTGGCAGCAGACCTCCATAGCCTTACAGACCCTGGGAAAAGGTTTGGTGTTTACCCTAAGAACAGTGGGAAGTCATTGAGTTTTAAGCAGGGAAATAATGGTCTGAGGGTGCATTTTGAGGAGCTTGTTTGGCTACAGTTTGGAGTGAATGTGGTGAGAACAGCTGAGAGGCCACTGCAGTAGAGCAGATGAAAAAACATGGTGGCGTAGACAAGAAGGGTGATGGAGTAGAAGAGGAAATGGAAAGAAGTAGATTGAAGTCTTTTGGAGGTTAAATTAACCAGACGCTGTGATGTATTGAAGGAGGTGTGGAGTATGGTGGTGCCAGTTTTGGAGATGGCCATCCTGGGTCCAGTTAGATCCCAAGATGAGTTAAAGATAGATGCTCCCAAAGCAGCTTGAGGTGACAGAGTATGACACAGAAAATTGTATCCCCACAGTGTTGATGGCTTTTGACATTCTATGCTGAGGAAAGTTTCGGGGAGTGTGAGCAGATCTGAATAGAGGGCTTCTGTAGGTGAGCACTGAGAAAAGCGTGAGTCAGGTTTGACCAGTGCAGCTCATACATTCTCTTTTGACAAAATGAAGAACAGATACTGCTAACTATAGAGCTTAGGAAACATTTTTAAATGGTGAGC